ACAAAATAACACAACTTGTTTTTCTGGAGGCTGGCTGCCATTAAATCTCCTAGACATTTAATTAATGCACATCAATAAGGACTTGTAACTTGTCTCTTTGAAGCCATGAAATCATCAAGCAAAACTTGAACTGGAGTCATTGTCTTTTTAACATCGGGCGGCCTTGATAATTCCTGCTCCATCCAGCCCCTTCGGAGTTACAGCCACCAGGGGGCAGCGCCTCTCCATCTGGGCTTCAACAGGGAGAGGAGACCACCAGGAAATCACAGGTTCGGTAACTAAACGTCAAAAATAAAAAAAAAATTCCTCCAATCGGTTAGATTTCCAGGATTGCAGCTTAACCTTTGTAGGCGAGACAGAGAGGTGAGCTGCCAAAAAGGGTTGCCAACATATTTTTTTTTTTTTGCTGCTCTTAAAAGACATGTTTGGGCATACACCTGTGATCATTCCAGCTAGTCCTTGACTTACGACTGCAATTGAGCCCGGAATTCCGGTTGTAAATCATGCCGGTTGTTAGGTGGGTCATGACGTGGCCAACCTGGTTTTATGACTTTTTTTGCAGTGCCGTGAAGCGAAACCATTGTCTGCAAAATGAGTGGTTTTTGTGGGAAATTGGAAATAAATATTAGTTTCCAGCAAAACAAAAAACTGACTGAGGAAGTGTGGAATTCCACAGAAAAACACAGATTCCGATAAGGCAAACAATACCCCTCCAAGGTCCCTTCAACTTCTATTCTCATTGATTGATTGATTGATTGAAACCGTCGTAATTTGAGGTTGTGGGATGCCATAAATGCAGATCGATTGCTAAGCAACCCAAATGCGACCACATGACCGCAGGAAGGCCCAACCATCAGGCCTTCAAATCCAGGTCTGTTTGGTGGTCTGTTGTTGGCTTCGAAGGGACTCTAAGCAACCAGTCATAAGTCAAGGACTACATCACCCATTATCCTGAGTCCAAAGGACACGCCAATGCAAACTGAGGTCTCTCAGTGGGTGCAAAGTCTGCCGGGAATTGTACCTGGGACACAGGTAGTCCTTGACTTTACAACCACAACTGAGCCCCAAATTTATGTTGCTAAGCGAAGCATTTAAGTGAATTTTGCCCCATTTTATGACCTTTTGTGCCATAGTTGTTAAATGAATTGCTGCAGTTGATAAAGTCAGTCACGTGGTTGTTAAGAGCCTTTATAATTTCAAACAGTCACGAAATGAACTGTTGTAAGTCAAGGACAACCCATATTTAAATTATATTCTATTTACCACTTAGCCAATGCATAATATTGTTATGATTAGGATGACTCTTATGCTGTTTATCATCTTGCGGGAAAATTGTCGCTTCTGATTATTGCACATCCTGTTCGGCTCCAAGAATAGAATAGAATAGAATAGAATAGAATAGAATAGAATAGAATAG